ATCAAATAAAGATCATCAGATAATGATCTTCAAAATTTAGTTATTACTTTAAATTTTTAAATTATAACAGTTAGGAATTTGTATTAAAAAGTAGGATATTAGTTTATCATTTTTTGTATAAATAAGTATTTGAAATGAAAATAAAATAACAATCTTTCTTCCCGAAAATTTCTTTTCAGGTTACTGTCACCCTTTCTTGTTTTTTTAAAACTAACAAGTTGTATCATAGTCATAATTGGTCTTAGAGGATATGTGAGAAAAATTCTAGAAAAAATTTAAACCCAAAATGTCAGTGAGCAACAGCTTTCCCTTGGCAGCTCCAAACACCTTTAATGGTGAAAACTACCAAATTTGGTCAGTAAAAATACAAACTTATTTAGAAGCCTTTGATCTTTGGGAGGTAGTAGTAGAAGACAGACCTGTACCTGCACTCCCGAGTGATCCTACTTTGGCGCAAATCAAAGCCCTTTCCGAAGAAAAAATCAAAAGATCCAACGCCAAAACTATTCTTCAAAATTCAGTGGGAGACTCAGTTTTCCTGAGGATCATGGCATGCAAGATTGTTAAAAGAGGCTTGGGATGGATTAAAAGTTGAGTATCAAGGAAGTGACAGAACCAGACAGATGCAGATTTTGAATTTGAAATGGGATTTTGAAGCTTTAAGTATGAAGGAAGATGAGTCCATCAGCAAATACTCAGATAAAATTTCCTTGATTGTCAACCAAATTCACTTGTTTGCGATGATGTTCCAGATAGAAGAATTGTGAAAAAGGTTCTTGTAACATTTCCTGAGAGGTTTGAATACAAAATTTCCTCTCTAGAAGAGTCCAAAGATCTTAATATTATTTTAATGACTGAATTGATGAGTGCTCTTCAAGCACAAGAACAAGGGAAGGTTCTGCGACAGGATAAGATTATTGAATGAGCTTTTCATGTCCAAAACCAGCAACAAGGAAACAAAGGCAAACGACAATTTACCAAGAAGTCAAAAGAGAAGAATGAAGGCTGTGATGGCAACAAAAGATTTGTATCCTGCAAGCATTGCAAAAAGACCACTCATGTGGAGAAATATTGTTGGTGGAGGCCAGATGCAATATGTGGTATTTACAGACAACTCGGACATGTCACTAAGGTGTGCAAAAGCAAAAAATAAAGACTCTCAAAATGGTCAACAAGCTCAAGCAGTAGAAACAGAAACTCAGGAAGAGAAGCTCTTTGTTGCCTCATGCTTTTGAAGCATAAATACTGACAACAGCTGGCTCATTGATAGCGGATGCACAAACCATATGACATTTGATGTAGCAATCTTCAAAAACCTTGATAAAAGCTTCAGAACCACTGCGAGAAATGGTAATGAAGATCTTCTTGAAGTCAAAGGGAAAGGTATAGCAGAAGTAAGAACATCTGTAGATATCAAACTTATTAATAATATTTTATATATTCCTGAACTCAGTCAAAATTTGTTGAGTGTTGGGTAAATGTTGGAGAAGGGATATTCTCTTGAATTTAAAAACAAAAACTGTATTATTTTTTACAATGATGGGGCTGAATTATTTTCGATAAAAATAAAAGAAAAAAGCTTTGCTGTGGATTAGAATATGGATATGGAGATGCAAATATAAATGATTCAAGTTTATGATATAAAAGATTTGGGCACTTCAAACCATTGGAGTTTAGCCAAACTCACAAAAAAAATCTTGTTCATAATATACCAAAAATTATAGTTGAATCTTCTCATGACTGACGTATGTCAATTGGGAAAAAAGTCAAAAGTTATCATTTCTAAAAGGTGAAACTTGGAGGCCATCCCAGAAGTTATAGCTCATACACATAGATGTGTGTAGACCCATGTTAGTTTCATTAATGAAT